CATTTTTGAAGTGGAAAAAGGTTGGTGGTGCTCAATTGTTTACGTAGTGTATATGATGTATTGTACACTCCATCAGTTCTGGCNCTTTTTTTCAGCGTCATATCATCTAAACCACTCTCATAGAGTATTGTTATTTGTTTTTACAGCTCATAGTGTACAATGTAGATACGCACGAACAACGGAACATCCCGCTGTTGAGCGGCTCAGACCGCACCGAGTCACTCTCGCATCGTAAGTCGAGTGTCTCGGTCTTCGACTGGCTGTATAACAACCCAGGCCCTATCCGCGACAATGGAGCACGTACCACTGCAGCTGTCACTAGAACTACCCACGAAGCAGATAGCAGATGCTCACACAATGAGTCGGATGACTTCAGCGACGATAGGGATGGACTGATATGTAACTCTGCTAGGGATAGCAGGTGCTGCTACAGCAGAGGATCAGACCTGCCGTCGATGTGTGGGTGGTCTGGTAGCCAGCGCACCGGAGGCGAGTGCAGCAGCTCAGCCGACCACTATACGGAGCGCCGGTTTAGTACTGAGAGTTCGTGGTATCGCGATTCAAGTACCACACGCGACTGTGCATTGGGGGATGACGCTGATGGAGAGAGAACATATATACTTGCTCATCAGTCCAGGTTCCAGGGGAAGTGTCGCACCAAGAGTGAAGGCGACAATGCATGCCGGTGGCGGGATGAGCGCTGCACAGATAGGGGTAAGCTTGGTTGCTCTGGCAACCTGAACACGGGGAAGAGTTCACAAATCCTAAAATCCGCCCCATCGGAGTCCGGGCACCAGACACAACAGCCGCGACGTCGGGCAAGAACATACACCACAGCCAGTAGCAACAGACGGCGAGAAAGCTTACTATCAGAGGTATGTGTACATGTTGTTTTTCAGCAGGCCTAAACAAACGCTGTGGTTATCTGTTGGTGGGTTTCCGAAGGTACTGTTCAGAATTATCTTTGATTGTGTATGAGTTCTGCGATGGCGGGTTGTCTCATCGTATTCACATGCCCCACCTGCAGGACGCAACAGATAACCAAGACGACACCCACATAGACACATACGCCCAGATATACACCCCGGCGTCCTATCCCGGGATAAATGGCTCAGTATCCACGAGCATAAGACTTTTAGGCCTGACACTGCCTCGGATGCCTCCGATAGCCTTACTACAGTCGAGCTTGACCACCGAACCGCTCTCCCCTGTACCGCAACACTGTGGCATACACAGCATCGCCATCAACCCCTCGCGCACACTACTCGCAACCGGCGGCGTTGACGCTGAGACTATCGGCGTGTACCGTCTGCCCTCGTTTGATCCTGTGTGCGTGTGCCTGGGTCACAAAGACTGGGTGTTCAGCGTCCAGTGGCTGTCCGATGGGAAGCTGGTTTCTGGGTCTCGGGACTCCCGCGTGTGCACCTGGGACATCACGCCATTTCTCACCCAATCTGCGAGCCCTAGAGACAGCCGTCACACGTTCTGTGGCGACAGGCAGAGCCGAGTACCTACGGCCACTAGGAATGCCTGGTTCAGTAGTACCATATCTAGTCCGGAGAGTGATGACGACGCTGGCTACTGCAGCGATGCTTCGTCAGCCTCGGACTCTGTTGCGCCTGCGCAGACAGTTGGGCATAAGGCACCTGCCTGCAGACCCAATGGCTCAGCAAATCATCATACGGGCAAGGTTAGTGCAATCTCAAAGGTAGCAACTGTCAGTTATAAGATTCAGTACAGCGTTGATTTTCTATATGATAAAGTACTTTTCTTGTTGATAAACAGCTTGAATACATGCCCGCGTGTGTTAAACACTTTGATAAACCAATCCGTTCCTGCAGGTCAGAGATTTGGTGACCAATACATTCGAAATGGCCACCCTGTCCGCCGATTCGTGTGTTAAGATCTGGGATCCGGCGCGCCTGGTTCCCAAAGCCACCGTACGGTTGCAGCATTGTGATGAACTCGCCTGTATGAGCCCGGCAGCTGTGGATGCTGGTGGTATCTACCACAACGAAGCTATTTATAAAAATGTTTATGCCGTTGGAAGCCAGAAGCACGTGTCGTTTGTTGATCCTCGCGCCGGGTTGGTTGTCAATTCGATCGAGTCTTTGGACGAAGGCATGGGGGTGCGGTCGCTGAGTGTGCGGGGTGGTGTGTTGACTGTGGGAGGGGGACTGGGGCGGTTGAGTTTCTACGACTTCAGTGCACAGGTAGAACACCTCCTTTATCATATTTCAGCATTCTCCTTATGTATAGAACGTACGGTCGTGTGGGATTTCCTTGCTTCTAATTTTGTCCCGCACAAGTCCGCATGACTCCTCATACTCTTTTCTCAGACCTCCACACACCCACGTATTATATTCATACAACCTACACGCGCAGAATCCACGCGTTTCTCAATTGCCCCACATGCGTACGTATCTTTCTCGCAGAAATATCTCAGCGCCAACGAACATTGGCCTCAGCAGTCGACCACACCTGCGTCTAAACAGTCGAGTCTCTTCTTAAGCACAGGCCCGGGATGGTTGGTATGTTGTCTGCTATTTTGTCAAGGCTACAGAAGTGTGGAAGGTCTGTAGAATAATGAAATGGAAGAGTTTACCTTTGTTTGCTCTGATATCTACTGCACAAAATAATGCCTTCAGTTGCGAACGAGTGCGTTTTAAATGTTCAGATGGCTCACCACAGAACCGACTATGATAAGGTATAATTGTTTTATGAGTTATATATATTTTTAATAGGCATCGAGTATCTCTAATGTCGTCTCGTGGTTGTTTGTACTCAAAAGCACCATTAGTAATCAGCATATTCTGCTTGTCTGCATAACATAGATGCGTAACAGGGTATGGGAAACCCATTTCCTTGGCTCAGAAGTGCGAAATGCAGCTTACACTCACAGCTATGATGAGTCTGGCGCAAGGTAAGTTCACGCGCTCTCCATGGGAGTTTCTATGGGCGCAGCACCCGAACGCTTCGGCGCTTTGCATGACTGAACTCGCTTATTATCGAGCAGTGTTGATGTCGGTCAACCTTAAATACTGGTTGTCTACGTTCTTCGTTACAATTCGCGTGTTTAAGCATTCTTTCCTTTCAATCCTTTCAATTTTATTACTCCTTCTCCAGACTGCTGGTAGCAGGTGGTCCTCCACAGTTGGGTCTGGTGGGAGCCTACGCTGGCGTTTGGGATGGCAGCTAGCAGTCTCGTCAGATCAGTTCATTGTCTTCACATAAGATGTCAGTCTCATCGGCGCCTGTACAAACTTGCCTCCAGCGATGACCAATTCCATGCCTCAATCAGATCGATACCGCACTCGTAGTACTCGACGGATACAAATAGCTCAATACGCCACTGTTTACTACCTTGCCAATAAAGCGCCGATAACGCAATCGAAAGTACTGGGCCTATTTCTATTCAGTATATTCTCAAGAAAGTATTTATATACCAAAGCACGCATTTGATATATTTTTTTGCATATTTTGAGGTGTTAAATGATGGTTTAAGCAGTTGCTAGCGTTCATATTTTCTTTTGGGAAATCAGTGACGATCCCTCCGCATCGTCATAGCAACAGATAACTTTTCTCAGTGCGATGACTCCATTCCGGGATACATCTTGCAGCTCTATAGACATACTTAGTACAAAGACCATGCTCATATACCTGATACTGGCTTGGTGTTCAACGCTGTCGCAACTACAGATGTACTATCTATAGTGCTCGGTATAGCAGATCTGTGAGCCACATGTGGAGGTATTGATCGTGGTACAAGAATGACTCTGTAAAACTATAGTGGGGAACATTTGTAGAACTACGATTCTTCAAATAAATAAAAAACACAGGTAAATTGCAACTGCCCCGTCACAGTGTTTATTTCAACGTGCTGCCGGATAATTCCGAACCTTTAAACTACCGCACAAGTAAACAGACACTTTAACACACGCGTTCACTTGCTGGAGACGATGCCGTACAAGTAAGCAGGTACTCTTAGCACAAGAATCGCTCAACATCGGTCATATACATTGATGCTGGATTTACTTGAGATTTTGATCGATTGCAGGAGGAGGCAACGCCCTACTGCATGCACGTATTTATCGATCTATAAACCATAGCTTTCTAAATGAACAAGAAGGCTTGGTAAAAACTGATTGCAACGCTAAACCCTGAGAGTAGCCAAAATCAGATATTATGTTCTGATTGGATAAGATATTTTGGCGGGCGAATTATCAACCAAAAAAAAGCACAGCTTCCTTAAAAAACCCCTTTTTGTCGTACCTAGTTGTGACTCGATTGATGCGAGGCTATGCCTTGACGACTGTGTGACTGTGTGACTGTGTCGCAATATATCAAGTCAGTCTCTCTCTGTGACTTGAGAGACTACATAGCAGCTTGTGTAAATAGGCCCCATTTTCAATAAATACATACATTCAGGAGTTCATTAAACAACAGTGACTGCGAATTATGTCACGTACCAAGGTATGTTTGTGAAGATGTCTCTTGACTACCTATCGCACTGCAAGCTTAGTAGTTATGATGTAGCGACTCACACACAAGGTGACCAATCGCTCTGCATCGAACACCAACGCGTAGATTGACGGGTGACGGGGGTTTACTAGCATATATATCTGATTTGTCCCTAGTTTTATAAATTACTAACTACTACCATATTACGGAGGGAGGGCGAACGCGGGTTTCTAAATAACGCTGCCGTCCATGTTGTACTCGATAACAGAAAAGACTTTCACATCGTAGTCGGAAATGGGCTCTGCCGCTCGCTCAGGATGCAAAAGACTAGTAACCCTTAACATCATTATCAGAGGTAGTAGATACATTTTTAGCGATAATGCACAGCTATCATTTGCGGAGTGCGAGGAATGCACGGAATGGTTATGATTGTAGTCGAACAACAAATACCGAGAAGTGAA